TATAGACGGGGGACTAGTCCTCTGATGATTGAAAGGGGACGGCGGAATTAAATCGTGCAATTCCATCGCACACTCTCCGTGATATATCCTGTAGAATACCGATAAGTAGGCAGTTACGGCGGTGTTCAAGGCTCTGCAGCTTCGCCTCTAATAATTGCGAGTCATCTATAAGCCTCGTGGCACGCTTGTCAATTTAATCCAAGGTGGCCAGTTGGTATGAAGCAGAGCCATCTCAAAGGTAGCAGCAGTACTCCATGCACGACCTGACTTGTGCTTGGTATAGCTGAAGTATCTGTCCCATTGTAAAGTAACGCCTCACCCTGCAAAATTTGCTAAGCTTGCTTATTGCATTTTTGGCCAAGAACTCAAAGTATCTGCTGAAGTTCAAATAGGACGACAGGTACAATATATCATGAAAAGTCGGAGTCAGCTCAAAGGCACTCCGTTTTGTGGAGAATAGACACGTCTGCGTTTTGGTAGCATTCAATTTGGCAAGATTGGCATCGCCCCAATTGGGGACTGCCTTGAGACTACATTGAACGGATAACCATGGACTCTCGACAAGACAGGATTTCCTCTCCACTGACCCTTGCATTGGTCAAATACCTATCTACAACTGTACTGTCATCAGTATACGCAAAGGTACCTGAAATTAACATATTGATATGCAGCAGAATGAGAGTTACAGACAGTATGGAATTTTCTAAGTTCAGTCCAATGGAACGTTCGCTCAAGAAATCCGAGATCCAATTACAAAGGTCAGTCCCATATCTTTCTTCTTATCTTCATAAGTTTTGTTTATAGTGCCCCTCCCTATCAACCTTTTGGTTACACTGAAAAAAATCCAGTCAATCAAATACGGAATTTTGCTTCATTGAAAAAAAAATGAACAAATCAATCAAAAACTTAACTAAACAGATTAATCACCATTTGTCGTGATCATAAAGTCAAAATGATTGAATATCTAATAATTCCATAATATTTCATACAACAATTACGGTTATAACTCAAAATAAGAAAATGATTATGGTCAGTTTTGATCAAGTTAAATGATCAATTCTATAATATAACTTTATTCCATTATAAATAAAGTTAAACATTGTAATAAAGAATTTTATATGATTTAAACGTCATATTTTGTTTGTTGACATAAAGCCATTATTTAAATTAACTCACAAATCAACAACTTTCTGAGCTTGATAATTGTGATTTGCGAATCCGAACGCACTCTTGTTTTTACTGATCATATTATGTGATTGATTGGCTATTTTCGCCGGTCGCGGGCGCTGCAGAATGCGTAGAAACTTGTCAGTTTTATTTTATTTCAGTGTTCGGCCGACTGACATGCGGTGTTTTCTTTTTTTCGAAATTTTTCCTAACTTTTTTAGTCCACTTCTCCTTTGTGTATGTCCTATGTAAATCTCATAAGAGTAACAATTTGTTTGTGTAATAGTTTGTGTATGCTTGTATTGTCTCTTGTAGATTCTCCTCTCAGCGAAGTCTATTACTGAAATTCACCGGTCAAATAGCAAGCAATAAACGCGTCATAGCGGAATCATTGATTGTATCAGTGGAACATTTAAGAAAAAGAAGGAAGTGTTTAAAAGTGCAGTTTCATGTTAATTTTCAAGATATTTATGTCTGTGATATTTATATCATGGAGGAAGTCTGTGATCTTCTTGGGGCTTGGAGACTGCCAGGACTTCGAAGCATTTTTATTAGTAAATGTACCTTTATATCTACATTTACAGTGAATATTTATTCCTTACGTACTATTACCTATTTTGACATCAATACAATCGTCAATATTTTGCAGAAAACGAAATAAACCTGCAAGTACTTAGTACTCTTTCAAATAAGGACGTCAAAGAATTGATTCCTCTAGTAGAGCCTAGATAATTATTTCTGAGGTCATGGAAAACATGGAAGTTGGATTTTATACATAATTACAATGTTTCTTTAAGTGTAAGTATTAAATAAAAATAAATTATGTGCCTACAGATCAGTACAACGTAGGACAACAAATTTCCCATTCTTGGTCTTCATTAGGCCACTATGTAATCGTCATTCTTTGTCATGTAAAGCATTATTATGACCAAGTAGTTCAGTGTATGGTTTTTATTCAGTAGTGGCTTCATATAGGCTGTAGCCTTAGCTGTACCTTTGTCTTCACTTATCTGTGCTGCTTTATTTTAATACCTTAAATGAGAGGTAAAATAGACAGCTGTTATATTTTCTGATTTCTATTTCAATATATTGACATTCAAGGCTTAGAGATAGAACCAGAAACTGAGTTAATTATAGTGGCAGAGGTAGAGCAATCTCAACCTATATTAGTACTCCAACCGGATTCCGCTACAACCCCTTTATGCTCGAACTTCAATCCAGGTACTAACTATTCCGTCGAAAATAATGTAAGTAATAATAATTAGGTATGTAATTATAAATAATTTATTCTATAAAAACTGATAGCTCAGTTAATTGAATACATATTATTGTGTTCTAAGAGTGAGGCTTCAGGTTCCTACCTCGGGCATTTACCAATTACTTTCCCTGTGAACTTATCAATGGAGAAATTAGTAATTATAATTTCAGTAAAGGAAAATATTGTAAAGAAAATTATATACTACTTACTATGAACGTAATTCTAAGTGATAAATCATCAATTAAGGTAGACATTGTGGTTACCTATCAGTAGTCCGAAATGACATTTTCTAGAAATAACGTTCGCTCGAATTTTCATAATCTCGAAAGTAGCTTTGAGAGGTAAATGTTTTTTCTTTTAAACATAACTTAACCTAACCTAACCGAACCTAATCGTGTCTTTGCGATAAACATCCAACATACCCTGAAAGAACAACGGTTTCATGTGTATCGAAAATTCGAACGAACGTTACTTCGGAAAAAAATCGAGTTTGTGATAGGTTACCAGACCTTGTGCCCCAATAATGCAGAGGCACAAGCGCCCTGCTCCCCAAGTGAGACCAGCGGGCTTTGGACAGGGACTCCGGAGCCTGCGTTGCACGGCCTCACTCGTCTGGGGGGCGGGTCGGAGGATAACCGACTCGCCCCTCCGTTGGCGCGGGAGCCCTGGCGTAAGCTAGAGCGGCCGGACGGCGTCGTGGTGAATGTTCACCGATCCCAAGGCGCCGACCCAACCGGCGAGAGGGAAACCCGGGGGGGTTTTAGTGAGGTAGGCCCTCCAGTCTGGAGGGAGAGTCCCCACATAACCCCTGAGTCTCCCTGGGCTCAGGGAGATTAAGATTTCCCCCCGTCAAAAAAAAGGGGGCACAAGCCTGCCTAATGTGCAGTTATTATTTAATTTTTTTTCCAGGATTTACTGCAATTATTAAAAGAAAATTTTGAGACACCGGGATTGTTAAAATTTGTAGGTAAATCATTACGTAATGACAATGCTAGAAATCTTTGGCTTCAATCATTTGTAAAAAATTGTTATAGGAAAATAAAAATTTGCCTATTACAAAAAATAAATATCTCAAGTGTCTCAAATTTTTTGTCGTGTGCGGCCTACTGTGACTTGGAGTGGGCCGAAGAAATCCAGCCCGGTGTATGTGAACGGGCGTTGATGGTGAGCGAGGCGGCTGGGCGGATGGTTTCCAGTCGAGGGTTATGGAGGCGTGGCTCTCATGATGCGGCACACTCGGCAACGTTTCAGTTCGCTTCGCACAGCGTTGCGTAGTCGTAGGAGCCAGTAGTGCTGTCGTACCTCGCTGGTGGTGATGCCGAAGCCTCCGTGGTGCGTCTGTTTGTGTATCCAGGCGATATACAGTCGCACCCACGGGTGGTCTCCATCAAGCACGGCTGGTGACCGTTGTTGCTCAGTGATATCACCCGCGGCCGCTATACGCGATCGTAGTCGTATTGTGCCTTCGCCGTCGAGTAGCGTTGATAATTTCATAAGGCGGCTAGAGGGGGGAAAGGGGGTCCCCCTCATGAGGGCGTTGATTCCCTCGGTGAACGCCTCTTCCTGTTGTGTTCGTATCCACAGCGACTCGGCGTGGCGTAGATATGATGCGTCGATCGTTTTAAATTTGTGTAAAACTTGCTTTCCACGCGCAGCCTCGGAAGTATTCGTCTTCTTGCTTTCTGTATCATTTTTTCGCCAAGTAGGGTCGGCGTCGGCATTTTTCCTCGTTCTCTTCCTTAAAGCGACGCATCGTTGTGTGCGCGTCCGCAGCCTGTCTATGAACTGTAGTACGCGCGCTGTGGTCCGCATGAGGCGTATCCAACTTGAGAAACGAGTTACTTCGGGTAGAGCTTCCTTCAGTCGCGCGCCGACGCCTGTGGTGAGGTGGACCCGTTCTTCATCCGTGACATTGACGTCCGTGACTTCCTCTTGAGGCCAATTTTCTTCCGACATATATAGAAAGTCCGGCCCCCTGTACCATCGATGATTAGAGTCGAAGTCGTGTGGCACGTCGCGGGTGGCGTCGTCTGCGATGTTCATTTTGGTGGGTATCCATCTCCATTCTTTCGTTTTAGTGTGTTCAGCGATCTCCGCCACTCTATGTGCTACGAACGGTCTATAAACTCGCGGTCCGTTGCGTATCCAGGTCAGTACCGTGCGGGAATCTGTCCAGTAGTAGCGGCTTGTCGGTTTAAATTGATGCTCGTCGACGACGGTCTGTGTAAGACGGCAACCCAGCACGGCAGCTTGCAGCTCTAGTCGTGGTATGGAGATCACCTTCAACGGAGCTACTTTCCCCTTGCCGATGATGAGTGAGACGTGTATGTTGCCATCTTCGTCTTCTACACGCCAATAGGTGACGGCCGCGTATGCCGTTGAACTTGCGTCCATGAATGTGTGTAACTGGATGCCGCGCGCGTGACTAAGTTTCATATAGCAGCGCGGTACTTTTATCTTGGCGAGTCGTCGTACATCTTCCAGCCATCTGCTCCAGGCGTCCGCCTCGGGCGCTTCTAACGGGGTGTCCCAATCGATGACTGAGCGCCACGTGTCTTGTATGATGCGCTTCGCTTGTATGGTGACTGGAGTGGCGATGCCCAATGGATCAAATATGGACATCGTAGTGCGTAGCGCCTCCCTTTTAGTTGGTGTTCTTGCCCCGTTGTATACTTCCGCCGGTGTCTTGTGAGTGTTGATGTTGAAAGACAGGGTGTCTTCCTCTGGTTGCCACACCATGCCCAGTATTTTCGTGCTGTCCAGTTGTAGTATGTCGCCTTTCGACCCCGGTGATAGCGTGCTTAGTACTCGGCGCGAGTTAGATGCCCAACGTTGCAGGAAGTAGTTCGCGCGGCTGTGTATGTACGCAACTTGTGTGGATATGCGTACGGCCGCTCCTTCGTCGTCAAAACTCGCTAGGTAGTCGTCGACGTAATGGTTGTCGATGATTGCCGCTGTCGCCTCGGGGTAGTGAGAACGAAAGTGTTCCGCGTTCTTGTCCTTTACGTAGATAGCAGTACAGGGAGATGATGTGGCGCCGAATATGACACTCTTCATACGGTACTCGGTCGGTTGGCGATCTCGGTCGTCTCCTCTCCACAGGAAGCGCTGCATGTCTCTATCTTCGTCTCGTATGGTCACTCGAAGAAACATGTCTCTGATATCGGCTGCTACCGCTACTGGTCGCTGACGGAACTTCATCAGCACGCCGGGCAGGGATTGTATTAAGTCCGGGCCTGGTAGTAGCATGTCGTTCAGGCTGACTCCTTTGGCTTTGGCAGCGGCGTCGTGGACCAATCTGAGCTTCTCTGGCTTCTGTGGATTGATGACGGCGAAATGAAGTAAATACCAAGTCTTCGGGTTCTTATGGGGTGGCGCTATTTCTGCG